TCTCTCTCTCTCCCTCCCCCTCTCCCCCTCCTCCCTCCCTCCCTCCCTTTCCTCTTCCTCCTCCTTCTCTTCTTGTTTGTTTTTCAAGACAAGTTTTCACCGAGTAGTCCTGACTGTCCTGGAACTCACTCTGTAGACCCAGAACTCAGAGATCCCCCTGGATCTGCCTCCCAAATGCTGGCTTTAAAGGCATGCACCACCACTGCCAGGCCAGAGCTCCATATTTCTATCCACCTCATGGCTAAGCTTTTTCTCTAGCCCAGCAGAAGGGGTTTTTACTGGAAATGTCATTGAGGACGCTGGCTAGTCTGGTCACCTGGACCATGGAGATGGGTACTCTGAAAAGTTAGACTCGTGGCAGAGGTGAGCCTTACCTGAGTCAAGTAGAGTGATAGTCTAGAGGGAAATCAGGGTTCTGTTAGCAAGAGGGAGAAGATAGAGTGCCCAGAAACAACAAGAGTTACCCACCAGGCCTGTGAAGGGCCAGGAGGTGGACAAGGATGTAATGGAGTCCTGGACTCTAATCTTCCAACCGAGGCTCTTCTCCCGAAGGGTGCTGAGCTTTGTTTCACCCGCGGGCACTGTGGGTCACTGTCACCAGCTGTTCCATTGCTTCTGCCACCCCTGTGTATCTCATCACCTTAGAGATCCGAGGAAAAGTCTTTCCACACCCGAGGCACACTACAGAGTACTAAAAGCATTTCTGCTTACAGCAAGGGCTGACATTTTTGCTCTTTCCCAGCCAGCAATGAGTTTCTGGATTTTCTAGTTCAATGTCTGTCTCATGGTAAGAAGTCAATAAACATTTGTCGAGTGAATGGCAGTTGCTGGTTTCCAAAGTTAGAGTAAATATTTGTCTCCCTTCTTTGTTCAGGTCTTAACCTCACAAGAACTTTCATATCATCCCCGGCATCTTCTTCACCAAGGAAATCGAGGCCCCCACCTGATTCCATGGAACCCAGCGATTCACAAGTGGCCATTCAAATTGCGTTGTCTATTCATGCATTGCAGTAACCAAGGTAACCATTATTGCACACTGTCTTCTTTTGCACATTATCGCACATCTTCCACAAAATGGGAGCATCGTCGTGTATTTTTTCCATACCTCCTCTTACCCTGTAATCCTCAGTTGCTACATGTGATTGTGGGAACTTGAGGGAGACATTTTAAGCTTTTAATAAGTTTTTAACAGTCTTTTGGAGGTTTGTGCAAAGTCGCTGGAGTAGAGAGCTTAAACCTTGGGGACAGGAGAGGCTGTGGCACCTAGATATCCTGATTTTTATTTATATTTCCCTGTGAGTGCACTCACATTGCTGGACATTCTCTGTTAAGTGACTATTTAAGAGAAAATGATGCTCTGAGGACTTATCCTTGATATCCATGTTGGTTAATAACCTACACAGTGCAGACAGCAGCCATGGGTGACCTCTAGTCTCGCTCACAGATTCTGTTCCTGATGCTCTGAAAGGATCCTTATAAGAAATCATCTTGGACTGGCAGTAATTGCCTTGCACATTCTCAAAAAAGAATGTTTAAAAAATACTCTGGAGTACATGAAAAGGACCAGGAATCAGAGGCAGTGTATGCTTTTGGATTAATATCATTCCTTGAATTCTCTTCGGAGGATACTTGATAGATAATTACCAGAACAAATCAGTGAGTGACTGGAGGCCCCACGAGGCAAAGTCTGTCCCTGGATAGAATAGCAAAACAGGAAAAATTGTCACTTGGTGAATTTGTTGTACCCTACCCCACTGCTGTATCCTGTCACTCATTTCCCCGTGGTTTCATGATTCTTTCCTCCCCATGGTTCTCTGGGGCCATGGCTGTACATCCCACTATACTGCAAGCTAGCGTTGCTCAGCTCTCCTGGTAAACAAAGACTCAAGGGCATTCTGGTTCTTCGGGCACATTTCTACAAGGATGGATCATTGCAGGTGACCGTTAGCTCATCTCACAAACTTAACCAAGCTGTTGAACTAGTGTTTCGCATCTCATCTGCAGGTCAGCCGGGACTGCTTGGTGATGGTGTGTTAGGACACTGCATCCTGGTCTGCTGGAGGACCCGATTCACTTCAGGACACCACAAGAAACGCACTCAGGTTGATGCATCCTGTTTTGTTCAGTCTCTCTCAGTGTACTTTTCTGTTCTTTATTTCACAGTCAGTGGGCTCTCAAAAATAATCAGCCAGCATCTCAACACCAGTACTTCTTGGACTTGTCTATACAATGAGGTGTTGCCTTTGGCATCCTTTGGAGAGTCTTGTTTTTGTTTGCTCTCTGGTAAATTCAGGGTCTCATGAACTTCCTTCTCTAGTTTCAAAGCCCACATCAGAGATTCTGGAAGAATCTCTTGGACTTTTCTCTCCTGCTCTCTAGCTCATCTGGCTAATCACAAAACCCCACCTCAGCATATGCTGTCTCAATCTTGTCATCACTTTGATTTCACTTCTTGTTACCTTTCCTTACGCCCCCCACCATAGGTTTCATTTCTCTAGTTTCCCCTGAAAAACCCATCTCGCATATAGCTTTATACTTAATTTTCTGACTATGCCTCAAACATACTTGTGTTTCTCCATTTGCCTCTTTCTGAAGCCTGATCCTTTCAATATCTCTTCCTTGACTCCTCTTCATCCCCACCACTCCGATACACCCCCCCACTGCAGACTGTGTTTGTGTGTGTGTGTGTGTGTGTGTGTGTGTGTATCCTCCCTCACAATCATCCTTCAAAACACTTCCTGCCGTTAATTCCCCACAGTTGGTACAACAAATTACTGCCAACAGAGGCATAATACATTGTGTCCACATGGAGGTCTCTGATGGGAATACCAGGTGATTTTACTTCAAATTCAGAAAATCGTACAGAGGAGACAGAGAGTTCCTTAAATACTTCCACCTCAACATTCTCCTGAAGCAGTACTGTGAGCAGTTGTATGTCTGATAAAGTGATCAGACTATCTCTTATAGTTCTGATCTATAAACTATCTCTTATAGTTCTGAAGGCTTTAAGCGCCAAATCTGAACCACAGTCCTCCTGAAGGCTTTGGGAAGAGCTTCTTTTTACATTTCTGAGCTTCTGATGGTTCTTGGTGTTCCTCGGCTTTTGGCAGTCAATACTCTAGTCTCTGACTCTATGTTTTCACAGCCTCCATCCTTGTATGTCTTCTTTCTGTTTAAAGACATCTGTTCATTCTAAAACCAAGATGATCCCCTCTGACTTAATTATATCTATAAAGACCAGATTTCCTGGGATTACTTCGGGGGTACCAAAGTTTTGAGACTCAAATGTCTATGTGGGGAGCACAGTAGGCATACTCCCAAAGTCGACCTTTGGTAATACTCATTTCTTCTTACTCAGCTTCTCTACCATTTTCACTTGGAAAAATCCACCCCAGCTTTAGAACTGAGCCTGAATTCTAACTTCTCCACAGGGCTTTGTCAGAGTTCAGAATCACTTTATCAGACTCTCGCACACAACTGCTCACAGTACTGCTTCAGGAGAATGTTGAGGTGGAAGTATTTAAGGAACTCTCTGTCTCCTCTGTACGACTTTCTGAATTGGAAGTAAAATCACCTGGTATTCCCATCAGAGACCTCCATGTGGACACAATTATATGATACACCCAAACCAATGGACTATAGAGGTGTCTTGTGATGATCTTCTTGTCCTTGTGTGTAGAGAGGGGTGATGTTATAGGCTGATGGCAGCTGCAGTTTCTTTTGCTCCATTCAAGTAGGAGAAGGGTCCGTGTAAACAAGGGGAAATAGTTACACGAATCCCACTAAACTGGAAGCCACAGGTAAAGTGTCAACAGAAGAATATTTTTGAAATATCTGTGCCCCAGTATCAAGATTTTTATTTGTTCAAAATAAAGCAGGATGGGAAAGTCTTATAATTTACTGACTGCTAGACATGAGTGGAGCTCAGTAGCTATTCAAACTGTCATAGCCACGAGCCTGTGATCTGCCTAAAGCCATGCAGCTGGTCCATGGTAGAGCCAGGAATGCAGAGTCTAGGTCTCCTCATTCAAAATCTAAAAGGTAGTTGCTTCTAGTATTTTCTGTCGGGACACTACAGATCTGGTCTCCTTTTATGAATCATTCTACACTGTAATCAATAGTAAAGATGACAAAATTGGCTTTCTTTCAAAGAACCATTTTTTAAAAAAATACCTTTGGCACAGATAGCCTAAATTGGGACATAAACAATTACAAATAGCACTCAGATGTAGTCGATGTGTTTTTTAATGCACAAAACAGCCTGTTTGTTTTCCACCTCATATTTTCATATTATCGTTAATGAGCAAAAGTCAATGTCTCTTGAGCTCACTGGGTCTAAAGGTCGCTAGTACCTCAGGAAGGTTGTGTTCTGATTGCTTCTCCCCACATCAAGCACTCTGTTAACCAGGGTGCAAAACACTTTCCTTGGTGACAAAGGGAACCTCCGGGTCAGAAGCCCTCATCATATTCTTTTTCTGTAATCTCTAGATGTGTTGTTATCAACACAGAGATCGTTAGAACCTATTCTTTCAAAAATCACACATACTCATTACCATCATTTTCAGAATAAAAAGTCAGGACCAAAAGATCTGTGCTTGATTTGTAAAATTACATATTTGGAAATCTTGCAGCTATACAAAATTAAATCCAATTTAGCCATGCATTTAGCAAATCAAGGCCTTTCATGGAAAAAGAATGGAATTGGGCTCTCCAGGAAAATCAGGGATGGGTGGTCACTGTGGTGTGCCGTCGGCATTTCAAAAGCCATATGTAAATGAAATGTATGCATAGACTCAATAATATCCTAAAAATGAGGATTAAATAATGGAGTTCCTGAGCTTATGGTGTCACTGGTGAGGAATGGAATTGTAAGGAATGTTCAGAACACTTCAGAGAGCCCTTACCATCTCATGGAAGCGACAAGGACATTCATAACGACGCTAACAAATGTGACTGAACGCACACAGTGAGCCTGATGCACACCACTGGATTAGTCAGAGTTACCCTTAAGAGGTTGAGGTCTGCCACTCAGTCCTTAAAACACATCTGTGACAGGGATACCGAGAAAAAAGTTGGTTCTAATGGCATCTTGACTTACCACTTTTTACATGAAGAAACTGAGGCAGTGAGAAGGAAGAGACAGGCCCGAAGAGGCACAGGGAAGTAGACGACAGGCTGCTTCCCATCCGTATTTCTTAACCTTTACACCATTGTCAAAATGTGTTTACATGTCACCATATATTTGGCTAAATAAGACGTGAGTGAAGATAAGGAAGCCTGCAAGGGTTGGTTAATAAGGTTCTGAAACAGTGTATGAGTGTCAGCCAGGCACATGTTTCCTTTTCTGGCATGGGGTTATTAGGCAAGTTACACAAGGGAAAAATGCCCACACTTCTAGCGCTTGAAATGACAGGTCCGTCTGACAGCCAAGTCTGCAAACACAACGTGAGAAGTTTGGGCAGCCACTCAAGCCCCTGGCACCATGTGGATGGGACACACCGAGGGCCAAACTATCCAACTGCACGGCCAGGTGCTCTTCCGCCGTGCAGGTGCGGTGAGACAGCGGGGGTCTCTGGCTTCCTGGCTCCACTCAGATATCTATTCCTGTAACTCTCTTGTCCTCCTAAAACTCTTCTACTCTCTCTCTCTCTCTCTCTCTCTCTCTCTCTCTCTCTCTCTCTCTCTCTCTGTGTGTGTGTGTGTGTGTGTGTGTGTGATTTCATCATGGGGAGCACAGGAGAGGAGCCGAGTGGGTTAGAACTCACAAGTAAAATGATGGAAGCTTTGGGAGGGTCCTCTTCAGGGAGCGCACTCTTCTTTTCAGTTTTCCTTCCTCCAGACCTAGGGTTTTGCTCATCTCATGCATTCCTCTTTTAGTATCAGATGTGGAATAAACTTTGATTTTGTCCAAGATCCTGATGTGTGCAGAAGAAACTCAGCAAGGCTTAGTCACTAGTAGTGCTGCCACGTAGTTTTGTGGACTTGATTAGTGAAGCTTATCCATGGAACGGGGCATCCGTGTCTCTCACTCACCTCCTTCAGGAGTGCTTCCCCCTTGTCTCTTCTCACAGTAGACTAGGAAAAGGAACGTTAATATTTGTCTGGGACTATTATGCCTCATGTGGTCTACATACATCATTTCCTTGACTTCTTATCATAACTCTACAAGACCCCGTTTTACAGGTGTGGAAATAGGCCCCTAGAACTGAAGAGGCGAAGGGAAGAACTCACTCTCACTTGAGATGACTGTACCATTAGCACACTGCCCGTGAATCCCTTACCATGGAGCCCATGTGCGTTTTAACTGAGAACAGTTTTAAACTGAAGGAGAGTAGCCTTTCTGCAGATTTCTGGGCATTGACTGTTACCTTTGAAGACTCATCATCCTTGCATCATGGGTCAGAAGTTTGTTATTTCTGTGCATAGCTTCCCCAGGTAGTACCGCCCAAGAGCTGGCTCTGTATTACTCCAAGGGGCAAGAGGCCTCGCTCAGGAAACCAGGTTTGGTGCATATTCACAAGCTGTAACTCTTACAGGCAAGAATGACTACCAACTAAGGACATCTTTGTCTTGGCAATCAACTGCAGTTGACTACAGATGGATAATCAGCGCTCCTATTAATAATCTGTTAATAGGGGTTTCCTGCTGACTCTGGTTTATCCAAGTTTAGTAGCTGATGCTCACCTGAAGTCTAGGCTTTAGTCACACAATAAATACTTGGGCACTTCTCTGACTGGAGGTGACGGCAGCCTTAGAATCTGTCCTTGCTTCCTATGTTCTCACCTGAAAGGATTTCTTACTAATGGAAAACTCATCCACATTCCACTGCTTCATTATCTCCTGTGCCGAAATAATTTCCAAATCAGGATCGCCCATGCTTTGTTTCTACAAGTAGCCCCAAGCCTACTGGATATTTCTAACTGGGCATCTCACAATCACTTCAAATCCAGAATTAAAAACAAAAACAAAAACAAAAACAAAAAACCCAAACAATTGTCTCTATGTAACATAAACTCCTACACCCAATAGTCTGAATCCTTGTAATTCAGCAGTGGCACTCACTACTGTAGCTCCCTTCCTAACCTCTCTCTTTGTTATCCCTTTGCATGTGTGGACACAGTCTTGGACAATAAAATAAACATTGTAGGGCTGACTTTCTTATCCTGACATCTTCAGACACCTGCCTACCTCATAGATTCCACTTCTCTTGAACCTACAGGCTGAGCTCTGTCTTCAAGACATATCTCCGGACAAAAGAGAATTTATGAACACGCCGCCAGTGGCTTGCTGTTTTCCTTTCCTTCAGTAACAAGAACTATAGTTCTGACCATGTGGTTAAATTTTCAAAATAATTTTCATTAGCTAAGTAATATGTGGATGTTCTCCTTATAAAAATTACTGTTAAGGTGAAAATCCCTGTTTGTTCTCTCTACCGGCACATAGTAAATTCTCACTTTCGTAGCCTTATGAATCGTTGTGCAAGCTTTAACATACAGCAGGTATTTATAGAAAATGTAATTTACTGCTTTTCTTTTTAAATTAAAATGTTCATAAATAAAAATAGCAAATTGCAGATATGTATTCTACAACATGCATCTTTACTGTTTTTCCATTTATTCAGCAAATAATTACT